CAGTCTAATTTGCATGTACCATTAAAAAAAGAAAAGCGAACATCATCCATCTTCTTCTCCATTCCAATTGTTGTATGCTATCTCATGGCTCGCTCTTCCTTTGCGGATTTGTTGCACGAACTTCGCATTCCCGACATAGTCCAACAAGCATTGCTGGACGAGAACTATGATACAGAAACATTTGGTCTGCTGGCCCTGTCGTTGCCTGAATTGGATTCAGCCATTCATTCCATGGGTTTAGACATAACTCCTAAGATCCGCTCTTCGCTTCGAGTCCTGTGGACGCGTTACCAGCCAGCGGCTGCTTCAGGCTTTGCACCTGCCTCGTTCCTTCCTGCATCAGGTGATAGCTCCGAACTGTCTTCAGGTTCTCGCACAAGCTCAGCTTGGAATGAACCTTTTCCCGCTAAGCTCAGCCCGGATCTCATTCGGGAACTGCGAGACAATTTTGAGCGTCAGTACCCAGGAGAACTCCTGGATCCAGATCTCATGCCTTCCAGTCGCATGCTAGCATTGACTTACCAGCAGCTCCAACGAAAAGACTGGAAATGGATTCCCTGGAAATACCGACTTAGTGCCAAACTCCAAGATGAGTCTAGCATGATCCGAGCTCGCAAAGCCGCCAGAACTGATGTCGGATCTCCTTATCGATGATATCCCGGTTCGAGACATCCCTCAATCCAACATCGGGCTTCAGCAGTTGTCCCAGCTTTTGCACCTGCAGGCAACCGCCATAGCCTTCTGTCGGGGAGCGCATTTGTCGACTCTTAAGAAGTATGTTCATCGCTTTTTGGCACATGCCAGTCAACGCTTCGATTCCGAGAGTGGTTTACGTCCCCCAAATGTTTCAGAACTACAGTTGGCCGATCAAGTCCTTTGGGGAAAAATTGCAACTATAAACAGTGGACCCTCGATGACGCGATTCACGAACTTGTTGAATTCGAGCAGATATGGCTTCCTTGTTGCAACCTCGCCCATTTGTGCCCTGCGTGAGCTTCGAAGGAAAAGGCAAGAGCAGCGGCAAAGGCAATGGTAAGTCTTCCACCAAAGGCTCAGGCAAATCGAACATGTCCTCCACTCGGCCGGCCTGGGGTACTGAAGTGCTCTGTGACGGTCAAAAGAAGACTATTTGCCTGAAGTATCAGCAGAAGATGTGTTCCAATCCTAAAGCCTGTAAGTATGAACATGTTTGTGCAGTGTTGAAGAACGATGGTACAGTGTGTGGCCAGAAACATAGTGCCATTGATCACCGATCTGCTCCGTTTTGACGGGGCCCTGCGTGTTCCGAAGGGGACACAGACACGTTTAGGGTCTCACCACCTGTCCCTGCCTGTTCTGCCGAAGAGCAACCTGCACCACCCCTGACCAACCAATCCTCCGTCTCACCGCCGATCAGCCAGGTACTCTTTTGATTGCGCCAGGGCCTCATTTGTTCCTAGACATTTGCAGTGGAGCTCACGCTCCTCTCTGTACAGCGCTCAACCGAGCCGTGCTGCCTATCGACATTTTGGTGTCTCCTGAAATGGATCTCCTTAATGACCTTTTCTTTGAAGATTTGTTGCGCCTTTGTGTTTCAGGTCTAGTTTCATATTGTGGTGCTAGCCCTCCATGTGAATTCTCACTGCTAAAGCTTCGCCCACCTGGCCCCAAGCCAATTCGTACATATGAGTTTCCATTGGGAATCCCTGACCCTGCTCCTCACGAGCAACAGCGTTTGCTCCAGAGCCGCGAACTGCTGCATCGTGCCGTGCGCTGCTTGCAACATGTCCATGCCGCAGGTGGCCATGGCCACTTGGAAGCTCCACCAAATGCTTTCACATGGTATGATCCAGTAGTTCAATCCTGGTTGAACCAAAAACAATGCCAATGTGTAGTCGTTGCAGCTTGTTCATTCGACCTGGACATCTCCAAACATTGGCTGTTTGCTTGTAGTCACGAATGGTTCTGTGACTTGGCTGGCGACTGCACGCATTCCAATCACCAGCCTTATGCAGGTCTGAAAGATTCTTCGGGTTCCTGCGGGCGAACCGCAGAGTATCCAACTGAGCTTGCCAAAGCGATTGCCTCTCGCTTGAGCTCCCGACTCAGTTCACGGATCCCCAACTTAAGCCTAAATCTAGCCCTTTCCATGATTCCCACCAAGCAATTGCACGCCTCTCCGCATGCACTCCATGATGGGGGAGGCAAAGGCAGTCAGCCAGATTGGAGCTTCCCACCCAACGTGAACGATTCTTTAAAGCCTTTGCGAGATAGGTGGATCCCTATGATCCTTGGGCAAGGTCTTCATAAAGAATTCTTGGCTCACACTGAGCAAGAACGACCCACTCCCCCATTTTCTGAAGAGTGCATCAGTCGCTTTCGAGATTCTTTTTCTGAATGGCTTCCCGTGGATTGGTCCATTCGACACGACCAACCTATCTGCCTTGCAGCCTTGAAAACCCTCAGTCAGAAGATCCACGATCCTGACAGCGAGGTATTCTCTTGTCTAATTGCAGGAGTTTCGGCCGGCACCTCGGATGACCCTATCGTGCCTAGCAAAGTGTTTTGGGTGACATCCCTGCTCTTCAGATTCATCGCGGGAATTGGAAGTCTAGCGAAGACTATCCGGACCTCGCAGCGGAACTCATTCAAACAGAACTTGATCAAGGTTGGCTTTTTGAGTTTCCAGGGGATGAAGCGGATGCCCAACAGAAGTATCCTCATGGAGTTGGCCTTGGTAAGCTGGGAATAGCTTTTGCAGATTCTCGCCCCCCACGCTTGGTGTTAGATAGCAGTATCTGTAACACCAATCAGAATTGTTGGATCCCCGATCGCCAGTGCTATCCTTCCGCTCGCGACGTTGTCGAGTGTTTCCCGCTCCGCAATTGTTCGGAGCCTCAGCATGCAGCCACGTTTGACGTCAAGTCAGCGCATAAGCGTATAGTCCTTGCGGAACACCATCAAGGCCTTGTAGGCTTCACCTTTCGTGGTAAGATCTTCTTCTACCGGGTTTGCCCGTTTGGAGCCACCTTTAGTGCCTTTTGGTGGGGTAGATTGGGTGCTTGGCTAGTGCGCACGTTTCACAGTCTCATTTGGATCCAACATGGCCTTTGGCTGTTTGTAGACGATTTCTTGTTGACCCAACCAAAACAAGCCCTGCCGCTATTCGCTACTCTCCTGGCGATTTTTTGTAGAGTTTTCTGCATCCCTCTGAGCTGGCGTAAATGCACCCTAGGACCAATGGTTGATTGGATCGGATGGCGCTTTAACTTTTTCAATGGTCTAGTAAGTCTGCACCCAGACAAACAAGACAAGCTGATCTCACAGATTGAAGATTTGCTTAAACATTGTCAGTGCACTTGCAAGCAATTGGAAAAGTTCACAGGCTTGGCGCTTTGGGTCACTCATCTCTTTTTGCCATTTCGCGCTTTGCTCCACTGGTTGTTTTCAGATTTGTATTGTTGCCCCGCAACACACTACAGTGTCAACCCAGGCTTTTGGACTCTAGTCAAATCCTGTCTTTCAGATGAACTGACCTTTCTTTGCGCACCAGCCGGCACAGCAATCCCGGCTGATTCCAAGTTGGTTTCTGTTCGGCATACCCCAGTCCAAACCCTGCATGAAGTGGAGTCGGTACGATTGACCGACCGTAGACTATGGCTTAGAATCATCAATCCCAAATCGCAACAGCGAAAGCTTTCAGTACATAGCAGACGGGTACTCAAACTATGGCTGCAGTGGCTGAGAATCTCCCCCCTCTCCGAAGTATGCGCCCGCCGCTTCGGGTTTCCATTCACGCATCAGCAGATGCCTCGGCCCAAGGGGATTCGTTTCAAGTCGGTGGCCTGCTTGAATCCGGCTCCACCGTCTATTGGTTTGCAGAGAGATGGACAGTCTTGGACGTCAAGTCTTTAGATATTCCAGTTCGACCCGATGCCCAGAGAGACATTGCTTGCTATGAAACTTTAGCCCAAGGGTTTCTATCCCAACAGTTTGTATCCCACTGCATTTTCAGAGCCTTAGTGATAACATTGCTGCCGAAGCATCCGGCAATAAGCTCTTCACGACGTCCGCTCCGCTCTGTTATTTTGTTGAGCATTTAGCTTCCATTTTAGTTTCCGAACGAATCAGCTGCGATATCTCACACATTCCGGGTCCCTTGAATGTTGATGCAGATCTCCTCAGTAGATGGGATCTTGAATCAGAACTCCCGCCAAGTTCGCCTCTGCACATAGGCATCGCATGAGCCTGCCAGGCTTCTTTCGGTTTCACCGCTCGGTAGCGGTTCACCCCTCTAGCTTCCCGCTGCAGTGGCCAATCGGCCAGCCATGAGTTCATTTTGACTGCCAACGTCCACTCAGAGCGTCCTGGGATTGGTTTACCGAGTGTTGTTGGAAGAGCTTTTGGTGTAACATCCCAACAACTCTCGACGAATTCTGGCAGTGAAAATGAAGTTAGCGCGTTAGAGCTGGAGAGAAGCTGTGGATGTTTTTATTGAACATTGTAAGTATCTCTAGAACGTTGGTAGTGATCCTTCACGTGATGTTTTAGGTACTTACATGTTCTGTGTGCCATTTTGGTTCTAGGATACGTCAATGTTCGGCCCCTCCCTCCTCTACAGCTTCTCTCTATTTAGTCACCACAGGTCACAACGACCGCAAGCGTGATGCTGATCCATTCAGCGCTTAGCCCGACACATCTCAAGGATGTGAACGCGTCACGGTCAAAACGACCGAGGGATGTTCCAAGGTGTAACATCCCAACAACTCTCGACGAATTCTGGCAGTGAACATGAAGTTAGCGCGTTGTTAGAGCTGGAGAGAAGCTGTGGATGTTTTTATTGAACATTGTAAGTATCTCTAGAACTGCAGTGTGCCTCTGCGGTGTGCTGCTGGCCGCCGCAAAAGTCTTTTTGTTTTCTGGGGTCTATGCCGGCGTAATCTTTTAAAGATTCTTTTCAAACTTCTTTTTTGAACAAACCGATTTGGATCCACCGTTTTCGCCGTCCGCCGTTTGCCCAGGTGCCGCCGGTCCGCCTTCTCCGCGGGTCTTCGAGGCGAAGGAGCGGCTCTTTGGGGTTCGCCGGATGCATTCTGAGCGTTCCACTTGTTTTTTTTTTTTTTTCGGGGGGTCTGGGCGCTTGTTGGGTGTTCCCAGAAGTCGCCTCACTTCACTATATCACTATACTTCCCGCTTCTTTTTGTTGGACTCCTTTCTTTTCCTTTTCACCTCGGAGTCATCTTTAGACCCCATTGGCTGGGCTGAAGGGAGTGGTTCATGAACCGATGAGAACGGCCGCAAGGTGAGAACGGGTGACCTCGGCCCCGCTCCACCTGCTGGGCCCCGAAGCCAAAGGGTACCAGGTCTTGACGGGGCAAGGTGGGAGATGGATTTCTAGTCACCAAGCTAGGACCGGACCTCGAAAGATGGGAGATCTTCTATTGAGCAGAGGATGGGGTCTTGTGGTCTTCTTCGTTTCTTTCTCGAAGGCCATACTGAATTGATGGACAGAATGCGAGCCTGCTTGCAGTGCTAGATGCATGAACTGGTCAGAAGCAATCAACAAGCACGGAGCCCACAAATACATAGGTCAGTAACGGCCTCCTGACAGAGTGGAGACCCTGTTTTGATCATGCGAATCATGCACATGCCAGGGCGATACCATGGCTCCGTTTCGTTTTGGTTGGGGAGTGTTGAGTCACGAGTTCTTTGCCGCTTCTTGTTTGAGGTGGCATAGGACCACGTCAGTGAGAAGCGATGTTTGCTTGGTAGAATGCATGGATTCTGTGAGGAGATCAGGGCCCCTCATCAGGGCTCCTCATCAGGGCTGATCCGAACATCAGACCGCCCACCAGAGCCGTTGTGACCCATCGTTCGTCCAAACACCATGGGTTGAATGCCCTTTTTCATCGCAATTGCATTTTTTGACTAAGGGACTTTGGGACTACAACACCAGGTCAATTGAGCTGAAAAACTAGTCGAACGGAAGGCGAGGTCCCGGCATCGACTATCTCCAAACCCTTTTCTGGTAAATCACTCACTGCTTGAGCTGAGGCGGTTTGGATGATTCTTCTTTGTTTGCCCAGCAACAGCCCACTTGCCCCCATGCCCCCCCTGCCCCCCACCTCCAAAGCAATGACCCAGGCTGCGATGCCCCAGCTGAAGTTCTGGCACGACGCAGCTGGGTGGTGCCCACATTGCATGGTGTCTGCGGCGGAACGGTCAGGTTTTTCGTTTGTGGTTTCTTGCATGTGTACTTGCTTGGGGCGTGGGGATTTCTACAATGTGCTCCAGTATCATGTCGCAAGTCAAGAAAGAACTGTACAGGGAACTGCGATAGGCGGGGCAGTTGGTGAAACATTGGTTATTCTTGAAAGGCTTGGGTTCCCATGCCACTCCCCCAAATACACTGATCACGTGGGCTTCTTTGTGGAGTTGGAGTCAGAGGTCTTCACATCAGGCTGAAAACCCAACTAGATTCCAGATGCTTTGGCCTGACAAATTTGATACGCTCTTTGTTGTGGCATGATTTGATTGGACGAAGGACTTCGTCCTCCTTTTTCCTCTCTGCGTTTTCTGAACGAAAATCATCTCCCAAGGCAAGAACGGAGTCATGGTCTGACCGGTATCAGTTCAGCCGCCCCCTGGCCCTCTCTCCGCTGGGTCCCGATGTCCCTAGGTGTCCTGGGTGGTCTTGGAGGAGCTGCGAGTACCTTATGTGATGGACGTGACGCCCCTGCGTGCCTACCTGAAGGATGGGGAGAAGAAGAAGCAGCGCATGGTGCCGGTGATTCAACTCATCGATGAGGAGGGGACGGTCCTGGATTGCTTCTTTTCTTTCTCGCGTGCGTCTCCCAGACACGACACATGGGACTGCCAGTCCGGACTGCCGATCAAGCCAGGGGTGGTTTTGGGGGTCAATGTAGGCATATATGGCATACATGGAGTGTCTGGGTATCACATGAGTTTAAACGAGTGACGTGACTCAACTGACAAAGGAAACTCAGGAAGTAATAACCCACAAGGGTAAAATGAGCCATGACTGGAGGGTGGCAGAAACGGTCCAAAACCAAACACGCCCTGCTTCAGCAGGGGAGAACATGGGGCCAATCAATTTGAGGACGATCCTGACACCTAGATGCTATCGTCACTGGTTTTGTGGGGTCGAGTCGAGTCGGAGCCCTCGTCCACCGAGATCTTGCCGAAGAGGGAGGTCTTCGGCGGTCGGTCTCCGTGCCATGATCCACCATTTGATTCGATTTCAGATGCAAAGGACTGGCGACCTGCACCCAGTTCTTTGGCGCGAAAGAGGGGGCATGCACCCAAAGTGGATCAGAGTGGACAAGAATTTTGGGTGAAGGTTCAGACTTTGCCCCAAACTATAGATTTGCCCCCCATTGCAGATCTGCCCACGATTGCGTTTCTGGTCAGATCAGGGTGATGAGGCTTTTCTGACGGCAAACCGAAGACCTGTTGTGGTCGCTTTGCACCTGATCCAAACGACCTGTCTTGATCCAAACGCAGCACGATGAACGCAAGCACAGTCCGTCGCGCGCGGACCCGAGCAACCTGCGCTCAAGAAGTGCCGAAACGGCAGGAGCGCAGTAGTGCAAGCGAATGGATCTTCGAGGATGCGTTGAAACATGTGCCTCGGTCCCAGGTAGAAGCATCAATTCCAGCCCCGGACATGGAGGGAGATGGGGACTTAGTTTTGAAGAGGTTTGAGCCAAGTACGTCCCTTCGGCACAGTAGAAGATAGTATACAAGTAACTTCCTAGAGTTGAGACATTGCCTTCACGTGAGGGACAATGGGACCCAACTTGACACCAAATGTTGAGTGGAGCCAATCGTCAAAGTCCAGGCTCACGAAGCTGAGTTGAAATGCACGTGCAGCTGAGAACCAGGTGTATCCCTTTCGCCTTTCTCTTGAAAACGAACTGACTGCATTGGGTCAACACCCAGATCAATGACTCAGTGACTCAGTGGTTGCAAAAAGAAGACGTCTGCAGAAACCAGAGATTTCCCCCCAGCCTTGGGTGGAATCTTTGGTGATGGACCCCCACCCTGATTGCTGCAACAGATATCTAGGTCTCCAGGTCTTTCTTCAATGAAGTCAGCTCGTTTGCAGAAAATGTGTCCTGCTAACCTACCACTCACTTTCTGATATCACTCTCTAATTTCAACCGCCTTCAAGCTGGGATTTGATGTTTCAATTTCTCGCCTGCTTTGGTCACAGCCGAGCCCTTCTCACGCGTCCCGTTGGTCGAAAAAACTTCATCGGTGACGGCACGGTCCTGTAATCTTCATAAACAAACACACATGCACACAAAAAACAACTATATTATAGGTACACCTCCTCCGGAACGAATCTCTCTTTACATCCCACGAACCTGGAAAGGAGTTCCTTTTCGCCTTTAGCCCAACGGCCCAAAGAGTCGAGGTCGGCCGTGGTGAGCAAGTCTGTGCGATGCTCTCAGAACGCTTCCCCGCCGAGCTGCGGCGTGCTGGCTTGACCACTGCACCACCGCGAGCTGCGCAGAGCACTCAGTGGTCGCTCTTCGGGCAACTGCAAGCGGCGCACTCGGCGTACAAGCGGCTGCCGGGTGGGAGGCCTACCTGGGGAGTGGCTGGTGCAGAACCCCAACACCAGGAGAAATTGGGGAAAAAGTGGAGACGGAAGTGGTGGGAAGGAGATGAGAGACTAAGTAGCTGGTGAAGAGGAGTTTCAAGAAAGGGTGGTGTATGGACTACAAGGGATTGATTGATAGATGGAACAGTACCGTTTGTAAAATTGTTCAAAAGCCTCAACTGTACAGATGGGGTTGGAGATTGCCTTCAAGAATGTTCAAGAAAAAGGTAATTGTGGCTACTTGCAGGTGCAGCCAACCCTTCTGTTTTGCTCCATGCCTTCTGGGGCAACCAGCTCAGGAGCAACTCACAGCGGCCTTGGACGCTCTTGAGACAGCTCTAGCTGCAAGTGCCAGGCAGACAGCGAGTCCATCCTACTTCTTGAACGGCTCCAAACCCAACATGATCGACCTCATGCTGTTACCCATGCTGGAGCGTGTCGAAGCTCTACTCTTGCATCCCTTCCTCCAACCTTCCAGGCTTCACCTCAGCACCTGGCCCCGCATCTGGGCCATGCTGGCCGAAGGCCGCCGCCCCGGCGTGTGCTCCTTCGGCGAGCTGACCAGTGACGCCGAGACCCTGCTGGCCATCTCGCTCCGGGAGGATCCGGGACGCACGCCGTACACCGAGGGCACCCAGATGG